ACATTCAGTAAATCTATGTTAACTGCTATTCCCAGTACCACTTGAGTCAGATATCTGTAATTGTGATGTTTACAGTTTTATGTGTCAGCCATCAAAAATAAATGGCACACTTAGCCCTTCTCTTGACTGTTTAGTCCAGAGAGAGCCTATTCACTTAGGGAGATTTTTTTTTAAAGTGATGTAGAAAAAAAAAAAAGATGTAGCTCTAGATAGTACATTTTTCAATGTATGTTTTTTAAAATTTTTAATTTTTAAAAGAAATGAGAGAGCGAGTGCTCGAGTGGTGGGAAGGGGCAGAGGGAGGAGGAAGGGGAGAAGCAGACTCCTGGCTGAGCAGGGAGGTCAATGCTGGGCTTGATCCCAGGACCCTGGGATCATGACCTGAGCCAAAGGCAGATGCTTAATTGACTCAGCCTCCCTGGTACCTCTAGATAGTTACCTCTTTCAATATCAGTATATATTCAGGCACAAAGAATACAAGCTATGATTTGTACCAGGTGCATATGTTGGGGGAAAGACTTCAGATGGACTTTTTTTCAGGAGATGGTGAAGCATTGGTGGGATCTGAAATGAGGGAGAGAACATCATAGAATCAAGATCACTATTCCTGATAGGCTGCATGTCCTTGGGTGTTAATGGTAACATTTAATGAAAACTAATGTGCTTCAGCACTGCTGATTTCTTTATAGCGATTATCATATTTATTACACAACCCTTTGAGATTGTTATCTCCATTTTAAGGAGGAAGGAACAGAAATAACTTCTGAAGTCATATAGCTAGTAAGTGATCTTTTCTGGCGGTCTGACCTTACTTCCTATGCTCTTAATCACTATAATATACTGTGCTTGCAAAAACTGTTTATGGAGTGCTTACTGTGGGTCAGGCACTCTGCTGGGTATTGCTTTTATGTTCATCATCTAATTTAATCCTTTTAATAATTCTGAGAGAAAAAAATAACAGCCTTAAGTGAGGTAGATTGCATCATGGGTTCCTCAAGCTTCTCATCTATAAAGAGATGAATAGTGTCTTTCATATGTTTTCAAATGGTTTTAGCTGACCATCAGAAAGAAAGAAAAATTCTGTGATTTGACCTAGCAGGAAGTCGCTCACAAGTATTCCTGAAGCAGATTTTCAAGAAGCATTATTTACCCTTCATGCACTGATATTCTCTAATTCTATATAATTAAAAAATAAATGAGGGTGAGAACCACAAAATTGATATTGCCACTTCCTTTTTTTTTTTTTTTTTTTTTTAAAGACCTTATTTATTCATGAGAGTGCACCAGAGAGAAAGAGACAGAGAGACAGGCAGGGGGAGAAGCCGGCCCCATGCAGGGAGCCCGACGAACTCAATCCCGAACTCAATCCCGGGTCTCCAGGATCACACCCTGGGCCAAAAGTGGCGCTAAACCTTTGAGCCACTCGGCCTGCCCCGATATTACTACTTCCTATTGGGTTGTGACCTACAGTTTGAAAGCACTCCTTTAGAGAAAAAGATTGCCAATATTCTTTTAGTTTCAATGTTCTGTAATCTGATCCTAGGCTTATTAGAGTTGTAGAATGTATGTATAATCTAAACCTGTGGATGATGCATAATTTTCTTCTACATCTTTCTTATCTGCAAATGGATATCTAGTACAGGCATACCTTAGAGATATTACAGGTTGGGTTCCAGACCACCACAGTGAAGTGAGCATGATTTTTTTGGTTACCCAGTGCATATAAAGTTCACACTTATTGTAGTCTATTAAGTGTGTAATAGCAGTATGCTTATAAAAACCAGTGTATATTCCTTAATTAAAAAATACTTTATTAAAAACAAAAAAAATACTTTATTGCTAAAAAATGCTAACCATCATCTGAGCTTTCAGCAATTTATAATCTTTTTAGTGGTCATGCCTTGATGGTTGATAGCTGCTGACTGGTCAGGGTGGTGGTTGCTGAAAGTTGAGTTGGCTGTGGCATTTTCTTAAAATAAGACAACAAAATGAGTGTCCGTTTGGCTCAGTCAGTGGAGCATGTGACTTTTGATTTCAGGGTTATGAGTTTGAGCCTCACATTGGGGTAGAGTTTACTTAAAAAGAAAAAAAGAAATAGGACAGTAATGAAGTTTGTCATATCCATTGATCTTTCATGAATGATTTTTCCATAACATTTTACACACAGAACTTTTTTCAAAATTGGAGTTAGTCCTCTCATACCCTGCTGCTGTTTTGTAAATGAAGTTTCTGTAATATTCCAAATCTTTTGGTGTCATTTCAAGAATCTTCATAGCATTTTCACCAGGGGTAGATTCCATCTCAAGGAATCTTTGCTCTTCCATAAGAAGCAACTTTTCATGTGTTTTATGTTTTATCATGAGATTGCAACAATTCAGTCACAGCTTCAGGCTCCGCTTCTAATTCTAGTTCTCTTGCTGTTTCTACCACCTCTGGAGTTCCTTCCCTCCACCGAAGTCTTGAACCCCTTCAAGTCATCCATGAAGGCTGGAATCAGCTTCTTACAACTTCTGTTGATGATGTTTTGTTCTATTCCCATGAATTGTGAATGTTCTTAATGGCATCAAGAATGGTAATTCTTTCCACATGGTTTTTAGCTTTGGCTAGAGCCATCTGAGGAATCACAGCCTATGGCAGCTATAGCCTTACAAAATGTATTTCTTAAATAGTAAGACTTGCAGGTCGTAATTACTCTTGATCTGTGGGCTGCAGAATGGATATTGTGTTAGCAGGCATGAAAACAGCATTAACGTTGTATCTCTCCATCAGCTGTCTTGAGTAAACAGCTGCTTTGTGAATGAGCAGTAGGATTTTGAAAGGAATCTTTTTTTCTGAGTGGTAGATCTCAACAGTGGGCTTAAAATATTTAGTAAATTATGTCGTAGACAGATGTGCCGTCATACAGGCTTTGTTCCATTTATAGAGCACAGGCAGAGTAGATTTAGCATAATTCTTAAGGGACCTGGGATTTTTGAGATGGTAAATGAGCTTTGGCTTCAACTTAAAATTGCCAGCTGCATTGGCCCTTTAGCGAGAGTCAGCCTGTCCTTTTAAGCCAGGCATTGACTTTTCCCTCTAGCTATGAAGTCTTAGGTGGCTTCTTCTTCCAATATAAGGCTGTTTTATCTACATTGAAAATCTATTGTTTCTAGTGTAGCCACCTTCATTTATTATCTAGATCTTCTTGGTAACTTGCTACCACAGCTTTTACATTAATACTTGCTGTTTCGCTTTGCACTTTTATATTATGGACATGCTTTTTTGTATAAATCTCACAAACCAACCTTTGCTAGCTTCAAACTTTTCTGCAGCTTCTTCACTTTTCTCAGGCTTAATAGAATTGAAGATAGGTTAGGGCCTTTCCCTGGATTAGGCTTTGGCTTGAGAGAGTATTGTGACTGATTTGATCTCTCCAGACCACTAAGACTTTATTCATATCAGCAATAAGACTGTTTTGCTTTTTATCATTCATGTGTTCATTGGAGTAGCACTTTTATTTCCTTTAAGAACCTTCCTTTGCATTTTTAATTTGGCTGTTGGGTGCAAGACACTTAGCTTTCAGCTTTTCTTGGCTTTTGATATCCCTTCTTCATTAAGCTTAATCATTCATTACTAGCTTTTAAGATTTTAAGATTGAGAGGATACATTAAAACTCTAGATTTTAAGAGCGAGAGGTATGACTTTTCCTTTGGGAAGACTTTGAGACCTAATTTCAATTTTGTTGGGTGTCAGAGAATAGGGAGGCCTGAGGAGAAAGATAAGGTAATGGCCAGTTGGTGGAGCAAAGCATATATTTAAAGTTCATCATCTTATATGGGTGTGGTTTGTGAACCTCCAAAACAATTATAATAATAATAACATTTAAGATCACTGGTTATAGATCACCATAGCAATTATAATAATATTGAAAAAGTTTGAAATATTCAGAGAATTACCAAAATGTGATAGAGTTGTGAGGTGAGCAAATGCTGTTGGGAACATGGTTCTGATAGACTTGATTCTAGGTTATCCCAAACCTTCACTTTGTAAAACAAAATGAAACAAAATCAGTATCTGTGAAGCACAATAAAACGAATTTTGTGTGTACCTGTTTTAAACATCTCTAATGTTCAGTATTTAACACAGTATAGTCCATCTAGAAAATACAGACTGAATCTGTTTGTATAGTAAGTTGAAATTTTTTTTTTTTTATTTGAGAGAACCAGCATTGGGGAAGGGCAGTGGGAGAGAGGGCGAGAAGCAGACTCCCCGCCGAGTAGGGAGCCCAACATGGGGCTCAATCCCAGGACCAGGAGATCATGACCTGAGCCGAAGGCAGATGCTTAACTGACTGAGCCACGCAGGTGTTCCAAGTTGAAAATGTTTTAGATATAGGTGGAGCATAGGTTTTCTATTTTTATATATAAATATCTTGGTAACAAAGGACTTTTTACAAAATTATCAATTGGCTGCAGGTAAGAATTGGTATGAGAGATTAGTGAAGTTTAGTTACCACGTTTAAGGTGGAGAGGAAAATCTAAATACACTGAATTTTGAGACTAAAATAGTAAGTTTTAGAAACTTACGTTTAGTGAGGGGGCACTTGGGTGGCTCAGTTAAGTGTCCAACTCTTGATCTCGGGTTAGGTCTGGGTCGTGAGTTTGAGCCCTGCTTATAAAAGAAAAAAAAAACCCTTATGCTTAGTGAAATCAGATTTTAAGGGAAATTTAAGAAATATAAGTTGTTATTTGATCATGTACATACTAAGATTTTACTTGAGAAATTGGGTATCAGATTGTATTTTTAATACATAATAGAAATTCTACTGTTCAATTCAGATTTTTATAACATTAGGTTATAGCTTAATAAAAATAATAAAAAATTTGACATGCTTGTTAAAATATGCAATGATTTGTAAACATAGTAACACATGTTTTAACTTTAGGATGCAGTAAAAAACGCTATAAGATTCTAAATATTAAAATACTTAGAATCTCTGTGTTTTTGTTATTTTCCTGTAGGTTGGATGGAGTACTGCTCGTGATTATTACACATTTTTATGGTCTCCTATGCCTGAACATTATGTAGAAGGATCAACAGTTAATTGTGTATTAGCATTTCAAGGTGAGAGAACTGAAAACAACTTGATGAAATTTGATGTTTTCTTGCCATTAAAAATGTTGCTCTCCATCGTGATGGTCCACTTAGGCATGTCCAACATACCAAAGTTGAATTAATTCGTATGTTTGTTTAGCAGAAGTCACAAGAATGTAAATATGTAGTGTACGATACATATTTTTTGTGGACATTAAAAGGCTTTTTGCTTTTCTTTATTTTTTTTTATTTTTTTTATTTTTTTATTTACGATAGTCATACAGAGAGAGAGAGGCAGAGACACAGGCAGAGGGAGAAGCAGGCTCCATGCACCGGGAGCCCGACGTGGGATTCGATCCCGGGTCTCCAGGATCGCGCCCTGGGCCAAAGGCAGGCGCCAAACCGCTGCGCCACCCAGGGATCCCCGGCTTTTTGCTTTTCATTGAAGAGTTAGTTTCATTCCAGATCCTTACTGTGGATTATTATTTTTTTTTTCAAATGAGAAAACTGTTACTAATATTAGAATAATGTAACAAATTAGAGTGAGAAAAATAATTCAGTATGAAAACCACAATGATTATTGAATTTATAGAGCAGTTGCATTTATTTATTTATTTTTAATATTTTATTTATGAGAGAGGGGGGAGGGGCAGGCTCCATGCAGGGAGCCTGACGTGGGATTTGATCCAGGGTCTCCGGGATCACGTCCTGGGCTGAAGGCAGGTACTCAACTGCTGAGCCACCCAGGCAGGGATCCTGAGCAGTTGCTTTTAAAATAGGTATAAGTCAGTAAATATAAAATTTGTTCTTAGCTTGGCATTATATACAAAGTTAAAAAAAAGTGCTTTATTTATATCACAGAATTTGCTTCAGAGTGATCTTTCTATTATAGTTGCACTGATTTTGGATTATATTAAAGGAAATTCTTAGCCTTGTTTATTCTGTGGATTCTTTTTGGTCTGTTGAAGCCAGTGAATGCTATATCAGTATGATATTGTAATGCACATAATATGCAGAGAACTGCAGAGGAAGCAGTGATATTCTATTGAATAGTTTAATAGTTCGTTTGTATATTAAAAGAAGTTTTGTTAATTGTGAATAAAGCTATAAACATTCATTCACAGGTTTTTGTATGCATGTAGAGTTTCCATTCATTTGGGTAAATACCAATGAGTATAATTGCTGGATGGTATGGTATGTTTAGGTTTTTTTTTTTTTTTAAAGATTTTACTTATTTATTCATGAGAGACATAGAGGGAGAAGCTGGCTTCATGCAGGGAGCCTGATGTGGGACTCAGTCCTGGGACTCCCAGGATCATGCCCTGAGCCAAAGGCAGATGCTCAACTGCTGAGCCACCCAGGCGTCCTGGTATGTTTAGTTTTGTAAGAGACCACCAAACTGTTTTCCAAAGTGATAATACCATTTGGCATTCCCATCAGTATTGAGTGAGAGGTCTTATTCCTCTGCATCTTTTCCAGCATTTGGTGTTGGCAGTGTTTTGGATTTTGGTGGTTTGTTTTTCAAAAAACTTTATTCTGAGGTTTATATATGTTTGATGTGAAAATCAGTTGGCAATGTGACCACGTGGAACTAGCATATAAAAAAAAATTCTATAATGTACTGTCAAGAAACATTCAGAGGATAAAATTTATACTGTAATATAGGCGAAGATTTAGGTCCTCATAATGTTCTATGGATTAAGAATGATGTAAATTATATAGTTTATCTAAAAAAAGGCTATGAGTTAAAAGATAATCAAATTCAAATGTATATATTTGAAATGATTTTGTTAAGATATTTTTTAAAAAAAATATTTGAGAGAAAGTGTACAAACGTGTGCATGAACCAGGGGGTGGGAGAGAGGCAGAGGGACAAGCAGACTAGACTCCCTGTTGAGGAAAGAGCCCGACTTAGGATCTCAGGACTTCAGGACCCTGAGATCATGACCTGAGCTGGAAGTCAGGATGCTTAACTGACAAATCCACCCAGGTGCTCCAGATATTTCTTTCTTAAAACTTGTGGGTTTATTTCCATTTTTAATGTGATTAATTTTCTTAAATTAACTTATTGAATTTTTTATAGTGTTATAGACTTCACTAGTGATTTACCGAGAAGTTTAAAAGCAGTTAAAGAAAAGGGCGGGCAGCCTGGGGGGTGGCTCAGCGGTTTAGTGCTGTCTTCAGCCCGGGGAGTGATCCTGGAGACCCCCCGGGATCAAGTCCTGCATCGGGCTTCCTGCATGAAACCTGCTTCTCCCTCTGCCTGTGTCGTCTCTGCCTCTCTCTCTCTGTGTCTCTCATGAATAAATAAAATCTTTATAAATAAAAAGCATCCAGTTTGTTTATACTTTAAGAATATTTTCATGGCAGCTAAACATAAATGCAGTAACTTTTCCAAGTTTTAAAAAAATTCATGTTAGTTTTTACTTTGAAATTCAGAGATAAACACTTCTGCCTGCCTAGAACTCATTTGTTATATAAAGAGGTTAGGAGGCACCTGGATGGCTCAGTGGTTGAGCGCCTGTGTGCTTGGCTCAGGTTTTGATCCCGGAGTCCTGGGATCGAGTTCTGCATCAGGCTCACTGCAGGAAGCCTGCCTCTCTCTGCCTGTATCTCTGTGTGTCTCATGAATAAATAAAATCTTAAAAAAAAAAAGTCAGAGTCTTGAAAAACTTAGTTATACAGTATTAGAGCTAGAAGAGATTATAAGCATAATCCAGAATTGCTTTGCTCATTTTGTTATGAGTCATGAGTCTTGAAATGCAAAACTCAGAGCAACTAACAAAAATACGTGCATGTAATTCTCCTATATAGACCCTTGTAATTTGGTTGCTTTTCTGTTTTATTTTCAATGCTGTTACTCTGATGAGAGATTTTTCTAGATAGCTTTATTTAAAAAAAAAATTTAAAAAAATTTTTTATTTATTTATGAGAGAGAGAGAGAGGAGAAGAGACACAGGCAGAGGGAGAAGCAGGCTCCATGCACCGGGAGCCTGACGTGGGATTTGATCCTGGGTCTCCAGGATCGCGCCCTGGGCCAAAGGCAGGCGCTAAACCGCTGCGCCACTCAGGGATCCCCTCTAGATAGCTTTAAATTGCAACTTTGAATAACTATGTCTTGTATCTCAAATGGAATTTGAACCATTTCTTAGTGGATTATTTTTTAAGATTTTATTTAAATTTATTCATGAGAGACACAGAGACATAGGCAGAAGGAGAAGCAGGCTCCCTGCATGGAGCCTGATCCAAGACTTGATCCTGGGGTTCCAGGATGATGACCTGAGCTGAAGGCAGATGCTCAACTGCTGAGCCACCCAGGTGTCCCTTTTTAGTGGATTATTTTTGTGAGATTTATCAGACCTTGAATATCTAGTTTGTAGAATTTTTTAATGTCATGATACCAGAGCCGATTAGTCAGGGCATATGTATTTTTTCTACTTATTTAAAAATAAGTCTAGTGGCCATTTATGAAGTTACACTCAGCCATGGCTTAATAAATTTAGTTGTACATGATAGGAGGATGGGGTTTTAAAAACTTAAAAGTATGTTACCAAATCTACCCAATGTCATTTTTTTTTTTTTTAAAGATTTTATTTATTAGAGAACACAAGCCTGGGGAGCAGCAGGCAGGCTCCCCACTGAGCGGGGATCCTGATGTGGGACTTGATCCCAGGACTCTGGGATCATGATCTGAGCCCACTGAGCCACTCAGGTGCCTTCCCCCTACTTTTTTAAAAAGAACAGAAGGAGTAGGATGGCCACAGGGAGGGGGCAGTAAGGAGAGAGGGAGAGAGAACCCCAAGCAGACTCCACTTAAAAGCTGTAGGGCTTTTATCTCACCACCCTGAGATCAAGAATCATCAGATACTTAAATGACTAAGCCACCTAGGTGCCCCTGTGTTACTCTTACAAAACTTTATATTTTGAAATAATTTTGGATGTAAAGTTGCAAAAATAGTAGACAGAATTTTTGTATACCCATTGCTCAGCTTTCCTTAATGTAACATTTTACATAGTACATTATTTAAAAAACCAGCAATTTAACATTGGTACAATAGTAGTGACTAAAGTATAAACCTTATTAAAGGGGATCCCTGGGTGGCGCAGCGGTTTAGCGCCTGCCTTTGGCCCAGGGTGCGATCCTGGAGACCCGGAATCGAATCCCATGTCGGGCTCCCGGTGCATGGAGCCTGCTTCTCCCTCTGCCTATGTCTCTGCCTCTCCTCTCTCTCTCTGTGTGACTATCATAAATAAATAAAAATTAAAAAAAAACCTTATTAAAATTTTATTGTTTCCAGCGATTTGTTTTTCCTCCCTGTTCCTGAATCCAATCCAAAATCCCATATGGCATTTAATTGTCTTTTTAAGTTTAATAATTTTTTTTGTTAACTTCCTTCTAGGTTATTACCTTCCAAATGATGATGGAGAATTTTATCAGTTCTGCTATGTTACCCATAAGGGTGAGATTCGTGGAGCAAGTACACCTTTCCAGTTTCGAGCTGCTTCTCCGGTTGAAGAATTACTTACTATGGAAGATGAAGGAAATTCTGACATGTTGGTGGTTACCACAAAAGCTGGCCTTCTTGAGGTTGGTACCAATAGTGAGCTAATGATTTATAGATAATTTAAGAACAGAGCTTATGTTGGCATTTAAAAAATTCAAGAAAATAACCCGAACATCAAGTGGTTTTTAACTAAGATGGTAAACTTAGAGTGTTTTAAATTTCTTCTTGTCAGGTTATTGATTTCACTGGCAGGGACTGTCCCTAGGGCCTATCGGTATTTTGTGCATAGCAGATGTATAATAAATAGCTTTGAGTTAAACTTTCCTAATGTTACCTTACCCTAACTTTTCTTCTTTAGTGGTTGCCTAATCCATTGATTGTTTTTGTTTTTTTAAAGATTTATCTATTTATTCATGAGAGACAGAGAGAGAGAGAGGCAGAGACACAGGCAGAGGAAGAAGCAGACTCCCTGCAGGGTGTCCAATGTAAGACTCAGTCCCTGATCCTGGTATCAGGCCCTGAGCTAAAGGCAGACACCCAACTGCTGAGCCACCCAGGGGTCCCTAATCCATTGATTGTAAAGTAGTACAGATTTTGGGGGGGGGGGGGCGAAGGTGGTGTGAAGTAATAAATCTAACCGTAATTGGATATGAACTTCATTTCACTAAGCATGCGCTATCCCAAGTATGGCAGTGAATCAGGGAACTTTCCAGTCTCATTTTAGGTTGAGCATTTTTAGAATGATTTCCTTGTTCATTTTATCAAGTGAATATCCTGGATTAGCCATAATTTAAAGAGAAAAGGTGAAAAGCTTCTTATATATTTTTTTAATTGGCTGTTTGGGAGGCTTTGCATTGGCTCTAATAGAAATTTACTGTATAGATGGTCGAATAATGCCTTATGTTTTAAATTTTAGTGATTTTTGAGGGGAAAAAATAGAACGACATTCTTTTTTCAAGATTTCAGTATTTTTAAACTTAAAGTAGAATGTTACATTTGAATTTCTGTGAAAAACAGCTTAATTGGTTCAGTATATATTTTTGGTTAATTTACATTTGTATTTAATAGGTGGATTTTTTATACGTAAATATTTTATACCTTTGATTTTATTTATCTTCAAAAATGAGCCTAGAGAAAAAAGATGAGGTCATGGATCTAATACTTTTATTAGATAGTCGAACTAAGAAGGTTAGAAGGAACCAATCATTTTTTATTGTGAATTCTTCTGTATCTTCCCTTCCCCTTCTAGAAATTCCTTTCTTATCTTAAATAAAGAAATGTAACTTTTATAGGGTGACTAAACCATTTTGTGGTGACAACTGTCTGATGATCAAGGTTTTTAGCCTGGTATTTGAATGCTAGTCAAAGACAGTGAAACAAGCCCATCTCTTAAAAAGAATCCAGTTAGCATTTATATTGCAGCATTTTAAATACTTATTAGACCACCCTGATTCCAGGGCCTCCAAGCAAAAAAAAGAAACCAGAAAACAACATTTAGGCATCTATAATATCTTTCTTATATTTCTTCTCTAAGTTAATTGGGATGTTGTGTAATTCATTGTACTTCTTCCTATTCATAAGAGGTACTTCATAAGGAAAATTTAAGTTGCTGTCTCTTAGGTGCTGAGATAAAATATTTTTATATTTTGATCAATTTTTTGATGTGTCTAAAATTTTCCACATTCATCAAATTCTTTAATGATTTTATCTAAAACTGCACAAAATTAGTACAAGTATAAGACATTTGTGGCACTGACATTGAAGGGTTATGTCTTATTAATCATTTTATGTGTGAACCTTGATTGTATCTTAGAATTTAAAAAAATAGGTATTTTGAGGATAGTGGGAATATTCAGAACTATGAATTATCCATTGGATGTTAAACTATTGTGAATTTTCTTATTTGTGAGAGTAGTGGTTGAAAAGGAGAGTCTCCTTACTAGGAGATGCTTGCTGTAAGTATTTAGGGATGAAGTGTGTGCAGCTGCAGTCGGTTTAGCAAAAAACAACAAAAACAAAATAAAGAAGTGATAAAGGGAGATAAACAGGGTGAATATTAATTTAATCCGTGAGTTTAGATGATGAGTGCTAATTATAAAACTTTAACTTTTGAGTGCTTAAAAGATTTCAAATTACACAATAGGAGGCAGGAATTAGACTTGTATACGTTTTTATCTAATTTGAATTCCTTTTTAAAATTCCTCCTTAAGATTTAGTAAACTCTTCAGAAAGTATGTGCCAATTAAATGAATCATAGGAAAAATAGGTTCTTTTATAATGTTTCCATTGCACTATGTCAAGATATATTTTTACTGTTAAGCTGCCAGAAAGTTAAGAGCCAAAAGGTGTTTTTTAAAAAATAAGGTATAGAAGTAGTTTAATGAATAAAGTTTTCTTTTTTGAGGGCATTTTTACTCATAATGTTTTCATTTGGTCTGTTAGAAGAGTCATACTAAAATTTTGCAGTTCTTCAACTTTTGTAAGACTCATTTTAGAGTTTTTTATTCTTTTAAAATATTTATTTATTTGACAGAGAATGAGAATTAAGAGCACAAGCAGGGGGAGCAGCAGAGGGAATGGGAGAACCAGGCTCTTTGCTGAGCAAGGAACCTGATTCGGTACTTGATCCCAGGATCCTAGTCATGACCTGAGGCAAAGGCAGATGCTTAACCAATTGAGCCACCCAGGAGCCGTACCCCTCCCCCCGCCCCCCCCATCATAGAGTTTAATCACTTTGATTCCAAGACCCTGGAGCACCAACTTAGACTGTACCAGGAAAATATTTTATTTTAGTTAAATGTATGATGCTTACTTTGTGAAATTTTCCCTTTGAGTCTTCATTAGTCTCCTGTTTGAGTCAGAGACTTCTTGTTCTAAGAGAAATATTAACCATTTTATTTACTACTATTTTAGGTCCTTTAATTAGTGATCTTTTAGACTATTGGAGTTTAGGTTTTCCTGAATTGAGTTACTATTTGTGTTCCTATAAGAATCAATTACATTGTTAATTTATTGTTACAGTATGCATTTTTGTCCTAAAATTTGCAGTTCCTTTAAGTTTGTTTTAATTTAGCCAGAGACCATTAAAAAAATATCAACTGGTATTACTTAATAAATAAAACTTTAAGAGTAATGCCATAGATGAAGGCCTTATGTAACATATAAGGGAGTTCCTTTTTTTAAAAAAAAAAAAAAAAGAATTTGTTTATTTGAGAGACAACAAGGAGAGTAAGAGGAAGAAGCAGGCTGCCCACTGAGCAGGGAGCTCAATGTGAGGCTTGATCCCAGGATCCCGGGATCATGAACTGAGCCGAGGGCAGCCACTTTAATTGATCCCTTAGGCGCCCTTGATTTTATACCTTCTTTTAATGTTCTTTTTGTCCAACCAAAAGAAAGTTTAAATTTATGATTCATGAATTTTTATTTACATGTATGATTCATGAAGTAGATTGTATGTAGGAGTTCTTTTTATGCATTTCTTCGCTATTTTTTTGAAGTGGAAAACTAACATTTTAGGATCATAAAAATCAATTTGAATTTTTTGTTTTACAGTTGAAAATTGAGAAAACCATGAAAGAAAAAGAAGAACTGTTAAAGTTAATTGGTGTTCTGGAAAAAGAAACAACACAACTTCGAGAACAAGTTGGAAGATTGGAAAGAGAACTTAACCATGAGAAAGAAAGATGTGAACAACTGCAAACAGAGCAAAAGGTTAGTTGTGTTTTATGTAACTGATTGTAGTTGGTAGTATATTGTCTGAAACCCACTTTTTTAAGAGCTGAGCCCGTTAAAATGAGTAAAAACTGTTCTTAAAAAATAGCATTTAGATACATAAAGAAGAATAGATCAGTTCCTATCAATTTGCTGCTGCTGCTTCTTGTTATAAATGGTTAAAATACTTGCAGATTTTTTTGGTGCCAGTCTCGATGAGTTAGTTCCTGACAACTTTCTATATGCTTTCCATCTAATTATAGAATAATTGGCTTGGGAGTAGGGGTTGGAAATATAATTAGGAGTGATAAATACTGAATAACAGAATGACAGAACAAAGTAGTTAAAATTACCTTTCCAAAAGGAATTCAGTGAAATAAGACGTAATATTAGACAAAATGTGAGAAATGCTATAAATTATTCTAAAAATACATATAAAGAGGTATACCTTTGAAATAGTGTAGTTTCGTTTTTTTTTTAATATATTATTTATTTATTCATGAGAGACAGAGAGAGAGGCAGAGACACAGGCAGAGGGAGAAGCAGGCTCCATGCAGGGAGCCCGACGTGGGACTCGATCCTGGGTCTCCAGGATCAGGCCCTGGGTTGAAGGCTGCGCTAAACTGCTGAGCTACCCAGGCTGCCCTGTTTCATTAGAGATGCAAATGGATTTAATTTTAGTAGATGAAAACAGTCACCTAGTCATTGACTTATTTTCACAAGAAAAGTAATTTGTTAGTTTTTTTTTTTTTTTGAAGTTCTATTTGCCAACATACAGTATAACACCAGTGCTATCCTGTCAAGTGCCCCCCTCAGTAAGTAATTTGTTAGTTTTGACAAACACAGATTATGATGATACCTTTCACAATCTCATTATAACTAGTTGGATATTTTGTGTCTTTTTTACAGGATTAACCTGTTGCTCCCTAAGGGTGGGGTGTGTTACATTTTTCTTTTGTTCAACAAGGCCTAGAGCAATTACTTACTAGTTGTCACTTGAACCAGTAGTGCAGTGATTTTCACTAATTTTTATACTCCAGTAGAATGGTTGTAAATTGTACACCTGAACAGAGATGATACATAAATAAGGCTGAAATTCTGGAAAGATTTTTTTGACTTGTCAATTTGAGGACTACTCCTTTGAGTTAGAAACATAATATCAAGCAATGTTTTATAATAATAAATCTCCTTATAAACATCTGAAACATCTGTTTTTAGTGCCATTAGCCTATTTTGTTTAAAATATGCAGTTACTCCCCCATTTTACTCTTGGGGGGAACACTTAGGATCCTGCAGTGGGAATATCCTATAGTATAAGCAAGTATACCAAATATTAAAATATACTATATGTGCTTTCCTTGATTTTTAGGGCATTCAGATAAATGGCTTATTCCATTGTTTTAACTCACTGGCTATTCTGTGTAGTTATTACTCTGTTCTCTCTATTCTTTACACTTCTATCTCATTTTATACCTGAATTTGGCAATTTTCCAGAGTGGAATGCCAGTCTTTTTTTCTTTCACTCTGTTACAGCCTGGGATGGAGGTGAGAAGATAGAATACTCATAAAAATGGCCCATTACAGCATATACTTAACCAATAAGATCAAGAATGCCTTGAAATGTGGCCTTTGAGGTTTCAATTCTGATCATCTTGAAATCCAAGAGAAGAATGGATGATTGGAAGAATAGAAATGGCAGAATTAGTAGGGCTTTGATTGTGTGAAATTACTCATGTGCGTGAGGCCTTGGATCTGGTCTAGTCGAGTATTAGCGGAGATTTAAAGTCTCAGGTACTCTTTGCTGTCCAGGTGACAAGAGTTAAACACTATAGAAAAGACCATTCTGAAGAGAGCTTATTCTGACACACATAGATTAAGAAAGTTGGTAGATTGAGGTCAGGGGATTAGTGAAGCAAAATTTGTAGAAGATTGTAGCTGTTGTACCCAGAAGAGGTCAACAGCAGTTTTTATGGCAACTCATAAATATTGATGACAGGCACTAATCTTAGAGGGGACTTCTTCCCTGCTGCTATTCTTGTGTTGGGTTTATAATCTGGGAAGATGAGGTATTTGGAAGTGGCTTTTAAAATGCTATTCCATGCTATTAAAATGGTGATTAAAAAAAGACCTGCAGTGCCTGGGTGGCATCAGACTCTTGGTTTCGGCGCAGGTTGTGATCTTGGGGTCATGGGTTTGAGCCTTATGTTGGGCTCCATGCTCAGTGTGAAGTCTTCTTGTTCTCTCTTTGCTTTTCCCCCCAGTTTGTGTGTTCTCTCTCTCTCAAGTAAATAAATAAAATCTTTTTTTTTTTTTTAAATAAAAGGCCTAGAATGGTGTTTGTTACATTATAGATTCCCACTAAATATAAGTATTATTTTACTAGTTTTCATAATGATGAACTAAAATAGGAATAAAAGGACACCTGAGAGGCTCAGTCAATTAAGCATCTGCCTCAGCTTTGGTCATGATCCCAGTGTCCTGGAGTTGAACCACATGTCAGGTTTCCTGCTCTATGGGGAGTCTGCTGCTTCTCCCTCTGCCCCTCTCCTTGCTCATGCTTGCTCACTCTCTCAAATAAAATGTTTAAAAAAATGTATGAGTAAGGGGGATTCCTGGGTGGCGCAGCGGTTTGGCGCCTGCCTTTGGCCCAGGGCGCGATCCTGGAGACCCGGGATCGAGTCCCGCGTCGGGCTCCCGGTGCATGGAGCCTGCTTCTCCCTCTGCCCGTGTCTCTGCCTCTCTCTCTCTCTCTGTGTGACTATCATAAATAAAAAAAAAAATAAAAAAAATGTATGAGTAAAATATGAATATGACATTCATACCATTTTTCTCAGATCCTAGAAGTGATACTTACATATGTTAAAAAAAAAATCTGAGTTACAGGTTGCCTGCTTATTTCTGGGAATAAAATGTGCTTGCTAGGAGAAATAGTTCTTTTCATTACTAGTATTATTTTTTTTTTAAGATTTTATTTCTTTATTCATGAGAGACAAAGAGGCAGAGGCATAGGCAGAGGGAGAAGCAGGCTCCTAGGGAGCCTGATGCGGGACTTGATCCCCAGCACCCTAGGATCATGCCCTGAACCAAAGGCAGATGTTCAACCACTGAGCCACCCATTTGTCCCCTGGGCTTTTTTTTTTAAAGAAATTCTTTTTTACCTATCTAATCAGGCAGGCTTTCCTGGCAGATAGAACACCTTGCTTGTCTTAAATTGGGTGGCTTGTAAAATCCATTACATATCTTGGCACTTGTTTTAAATCTCTTCCATAGTGTGAATTCTAAACACTTTTGATACAGTAATTCTAAATGTCTTCTCTTTGGGTTATGTATACCACTGAATACCTGAAGGACTGTTATGATATATCATCTACAATTTCACTTAAAATTTTATAATGAAAAAAAAATTTATAATGGACAGTTTACTAGGAATGTTCTGGAGCAACCTTCAGTTTCTTCATGGTATAAGACATAGTTGCATTTTTCATTGTTATATAAAATAAGATTAGCTTGTTATCCATTCAATACTTGACACATACTAAGTTAAATGTTTATAATAATTATTTATAAATCTTTTATCTTTTATAAATACTTTTTATTGTAAAATGCCAATAGAATACTCCTATTTTGTAAATGAAAAGAATTGGATGTGTGAAGGTTATCAAAAACAGATTGGTTTAAGTGTTACATTTAATTATATTTTATTTTATTATTATTTTTTAAATTATATTTTAGGTTATATTGTGTAATTGGCTGCTTGAAGGAATAAAGTAGGATTACAAAGTAGATTAAAACTGAAACCAAATAACATCTATAAATTGAGAGCTCATAAGTTACATATTGTATTTTGCCTATATTTTAATGTGATGTGTATGTTCCATTATTCATGTATACCCTAGATTTTAAAAAGTAACTATTTGCTTTATTAAGGATAATTTTTACATTCATTTCTAGTTCAACTTTGTGTTTTTTCTCTGCTATAAAAGACTGATTAATAAGAATTAACCCATAGAATACTTAATATAAGCCAGGTGCTGTTCTGAGTGTTGACTTATGTTAACTTAATTCTATTAAATAGACATTTTAAAATATGAATTTTACAAAGGTAGCACAGAGGGGTTGTTTAACCTGCCTATGGTCGAACAGTATGTAAAATGGTAGAGGCAGGCAGTCTGGCTCCTTCCATTGCTCTTAATGACACTCTGTACTTCTGCCCATAGGGACTAAAGATGTGAACTTATCTAATTGATTTTTTAAAAAAGATAAAAAAAAAAAGCAGTGGGAAGGGGTGGAGAGGGGAGAGAGGGTGCGGGTGCGGGTGCAAGCTCAAGAGTGTGGGAGAGAGAAGCAGACTCCCTGCTGAGCAGGAAGCTTGGTAAGGTGCTTGATCCCTGGATCTGGGGCTTGTTCCTGAAACCAGAGATCATGACCTGAGCAGAAGGCAGATGCTTAACTGACTGATGCACCTAAGTGCCCCTAATTGATCTTTTTTTTTTTTAAACACATCTTTATTGAGATCTAATGTATAATTTACATATCATAAAAGTCCAGCACTTTACAATATACAATTTAGTGGTTCTTACATTTATGGAATTGTGAATCTATTAGCATAATCTAATTTTTAAAATTTATTTACAGATTTTTTTATTTGAGAGAGAGTGAGAGTAAGAGCACAAGCACGGGGAGCGGGAGAGGGAGAAGCAGAAGCAGACTCCCACTGAGCAGGGAACCTGCTATGGGGCTCTTTGGGATCATGACCTGAGCTGAAGGCAGCCAGCCAACTGACTGAGCTACCCAGTTTTCCCCCATAATCTAATTTTAGAGCATTTTCATCACCCTAGTAGAAACCTGTACTTGTTAGTGGTCATTCTCCATTTCCTTCCCCCTCAGTCCTAGGCAACCACAAAGCTAAGTTTCTATCTCTATGGATTGTGTATTTTGGGCATTGTATATAAATGAAATTATGTGTGGCCTTTGTGACTGGCTTCTTTCACTTAGCATAA